GCAAATATTACAAGAAAAAACAAACTAAAGTCTGCAACAATGTCAGGTTATTACCTTGTTCGAGGAATGTATCCATCAATATCCACAAAGGTTTAGTCCCGATTTTGATAGCCCCAAATTTGACAGTGAAATTTCTCACTTTTGTAATTGATCTAGCCAGTTATCCCAAGTTTGACAATGAACTTTTGTACACTTGTCAGCTCTTCTCGTGCCCGTTTTTTTTACATTACTGGTAAGGATATAGGAACCAATAGAGCATTGGTCTGGATGTGTGTGCTGTTTGTCCCCTCTTCTGACAACAGTATCATCTGCTGTTGTAGTGACTGAGGCTGTTTTCAGGCACTGACATCTCCATATAATGGTACCATTCTTGTTGGCAGTTCGTCTCAGATACCTATATCCATCCAGCAACAATTCTCCACCTGGTCTCCTACCATCTAACTTTGTACCTTTCTGAGCCATGATGAAATACGATAAGAAAATGTGATGTATATGTGGGCATATATACTTTGCAAGTAATTGGTAAAGCTACTTCTCCCATCCTGCTCATTCATGACGTAACCCTTTTTTAAATATTGCATTCACACATCTCAACGGATAATGCTGCTTCTCGCATCCTTCTCTCTCAGTTGATTGTGGTATTAGTGTTCAAGAATGATACTTGTTCTGTACTTCTCTCAGGTGATTGCATTTACATAACTACCCTTAATTGGTGCAGCTAGTTATCCCAGGTTTGAGAGCGAAACTTCGCGAATCAGTGACCAAGACGCTGTAAAATATGGGACACTACCTCCACATAAAGGAACAATATGCCATTGATCTGCAGCTGACAAAGAATCCTGTTCCATGTCAAGTGTCTTTTAACAGTATAATATGCGAACAAGGGATACATCGATTCAGATTTTTTCAAATTGGTGTATAATCTCATTTGTCATCCAAGATCGCACACATGGCAAAAAATTGCATGATGTCCGCCATTCTTCAAAAAGGTAATTTCATTAGCCAATAATGAGCAATCAATCCACTTGTGTTTTTCTTGGCTTGGTTATCTCCTCCCCCACCCTCCCCACCCACCAGTACCATTGTCTTGCTAATTAACATGGTCTGGTGATCCTCTTACACCTTAAATAAACAACTTGCCCGACTGGCAAAAGGGGAACACCCCCATCAACTTACTGGCGGTTAATACATTGCAGGAAAGATGTTGTTTTTACACAGGTACTTTATGACAGGGTGTAATCAGTATAGATTAGTAAATCTACATACATAAACACTACCTTTTGACAAATCCGCTGTGCAAGATAAAAGTAATTAATCAATCAGCGTGTTATCAGTTAATCCTTTGATCAATGTTTGTTTTGTATCTCAGCTGATAATTCGTCTTGCTGCACTTCCATGAGCATATTACATAACATGCGATACATTTGTCACATCAGACCAAAATTCATAATGCTGAGTATTTACTCCAGAAACAAGAAATGCGAAATGGGAACCTTTGTCGGGTAATCTGAGTGGTATTACCATCATACCTGTTATAAATTCATTAATTGACCATCCAGTGAATGATAACAAATAACATGTGTAGGTTTATACCACCAAACACTGGTTACAGCAAAGGAGGTAATAATCGCTGAATTGCATGCAATGTTAATTGCCTGAAAAAACTTATGGGCCGACACTGTTTGGAGGATACGAACGGAACTTCATTGTTGCATAAGAAATACATATAAGCATTTGATGTGTACTGAAGGTAAAATTGTATATACCTAAGTAAATTTTCATTTGTCATAAATATAATATGTAATAAACATCATATGTTTAAATGGCATGATTAAATATCGAGGTAAAAAAAAACAACAGAAATGAGATCAAATTGGATCAGTCAATATGCCATTTATGTATTCGAAAATCCGAAAAGCATACACTGCTGGTATACTTTATAACAATCAGACAGGAACTACCGGGGGTATTCTAAAATAACAGCATCTGATGAGCTTTCACCCTGCCTAATGTCCCGCTGATTGGGTTGAAGAAATTTGGTCAAGGTGGCCAGAAGCCCAGTCCCTGTGTCCGTCACGGTCGAGGGAGCAGATACCGACAAGCTTAAGCTTGCTGTTTGGTTTGGTAATTAGGCTGTTGGTGAGAAACATTAATCGGTCTGGATCAGTTCCCCTCTAATTACATGGGGATATATAATGGAAAGAAGCATGAAAGTGTACATTCGATTTCGAAATGGCTAATGCTTAACTTGAACATAAGTTTATTCCTACACCTGGTTGGTGCAATATGCCGAAGGCCAAAGACAACCCATTAAGAATAAATACCGATACCTGGAACGTCGTCTTCAAGAACTGAGACACCAGTTTCAAAATGGAATGTTAACTGTTAGACAGTTTGCTGATTCAGCGTCTCTTCTTTCACATCTTTTAATATATTTATAATGTACTTATAAATGTGTATGTATATTTAAAATTTTGTAATATTTTGAAACATTTCATAATATGATGTAATATAACTATTTATAATTCCTGTAAAATGTAGCATGTTGTAACGTGATTACATAAAATCTGTCCATATAGTCTCCCGTTACCACTCTTGGCTTACGCCTTCTATGTTTTTTATGTGTCTTATATTTCAATGTATATATGCTAAGTGAACTGAGACTGAAATAAGTCACTATCTATATACATATATTTGGCTCGTTTTCTAATTAGGTGTGCTCTCATTAGCATAATCCGGAATATCCTCTTCTTTCAACACGCAGGCCTAGCATTGTCTCTATAATCCAATGTTAATTTGCTAATGGACGGGACATCAACATTTCTCTTAACTCATCCGTTTGGACCAAAGGTCGATAGAGGGGAGTTTCCATGTTTATTCTCACGACGTTATTAAGATAAAAGTTACTACAGCCAGGTGAATAGAAGTATATATGCATAGTGACAAGCAGCAAATTAACAACAGGTAATTCAGCAAGTAGCACGTCGTTGAGGCCAACAGGAGAGTAAGATCAACAAGTCTAAATCTACTCAATTGTCCAAGTGATTGCACCAATCAACATTCAATCAGCTTGTTTATCCTGAACGTTGTACATCGAAATGCCGCTCTATGCAATAAACAGGGAGTTGTTATCACGTAAGTGGTATGTTTCGTGTGTATCCCAATACTGTTTACTGCAGTATAAGTGAGATCTGCTTCACTTTGCGAATGACCAATCTTTTGAAGTTGATTTAAGTTCTACTTTAGTAAACTGCTACCTAACAGATTGATCTCAGATTAAAACATCTCATTCCAAATTCGTGGTTTCTATTTCAGGTACTAAGAAATACTGAATTTTTACGTATTAGATATAAAATCTATCGGTACCAGTTTGACGTGTCTGGTCATGAGTTCTCTAACATAGTGATTACATATTTTTGACCATTAAATGTGTCATTCACACGTCATTTATGCCATGATAATGTTTTCTGATCCATTTAATCATACAACATTTATTTCATTCAATGTTTTGAAGCTCATATGAAAACATGAAAAATGTTACTGTACCAGTTCCTTTTGAAGAGTGAAATTATTTTTGTTGCCTGATTTTAATACCTATCAAGTTATATGTTACACACGCGTGCATGCACACACACCCACACAAAACATCCGTAATTTGTGAATTCTGTTCGGACGATAAAGCCATATCTAATTTGATAAGAATCATTATATAAATTATCTTCCCCTACTCTGAGAGAAGCATGGCATTATTCGTTCGTTTTTTAATAATGCTATCTGCATAAAAGAAGATATTATCAAAAATGTGAAACAAACTTCCGTATACTACCATTTCACTAACACTGCGATATTGACCATGGAATAATGTTAAGTTTAGTCTGTTTTCAGTGTCATAATATGTGAGGTTCCTCATTCACACATACATACAAACTCACAGCATAACACAAAACAATATGCAACCAACCCAATGTAATACAATACAATTTTCACCGCCTGTGCATACCACACTGTTGACGAATCTCTCAGGTGTGTTAGAGCGATAATCACATCGCAACATGATAAACAAACCTACAGCTCAGCAGATCTTAATAACTTACCTTTTTAATAAGAAAAGCAAGATTTATGGATGTCAACTTCTTTATTGTGAATAACACGAAGTTTCGGAGCCTATGCTTGCTCCTTCATCAGGTGAAAATCAGGTCACAGTAATGCATTCCACTTCTTAATGCCCATCAAATATTTAACTCACTTCCAGAGGCTTCTTTAAGAGGCAAAAATACTTGTTAATTAACAAGGCAGTAGGCCTTGTTAATTGGTGACTCTTAACTGCCTTGACTCACTCATCAATCAACAAGGGATTAGGTCCTTGGGCGTGCAAAGAACAATAATTTACCACCACCCACCAGTTATCTCCCCTTGTGGACATTTCCAAAATTGGAAATTTTTGGAAATCTCATATTTCCAAAATTGGAAATGTCTTGGAAACATCATCTTTCCAAAATTGGAAATGTCTTGGAAACATCATCTTTCCAAAATTGGAAATGTCTTGGAAACATCATCTTTCCAAGACATTTCCAAGCTTGTAAATGTGGACTCTTTATCAGTGGAAGCTTGAAGGTTTTCCTGTGTTCAAATGATGCCAAAGCAGGTGGTGTAACATAGAGGTGATTTGGTCACTGGTCAGTATTGCGAGAGTGAGTTACCATTTTGGCAATGCGTTCTGCAACTGTATATTAGAACTGGGATCTAGTCCCACTAGCAAGTCAATACAACCGTTGCATCTTGACATAACTAAAGAAAGAATATCAAAGAGTAAGAAATTGACGGGTATGCCCTATGATCCTTAGAATGAGAAGACACACATATGTTTTTTAGGACAAGGAAAGTCAGGTCTGTAAATATTTTGACCAATTCGTTTAAAATTGTGAAATTAGTAAATTTTGTCTGACGACATTGATCATACGGAGAAGAGATATGCTCCTTCACAAAATATCGCTGGCTTTTCAATACCTTTTAAGAACACTTACAATTGCAGGAAACACTCCTTCGGCTATTTGCACTGCATTATATCCATCTTTGTTTTTGGCGCTCACATCTACAATCGCTTGTGAAAGGATGTATTTCACAAGGTCCGCATACCCTCCCGTAGTTGCCAAATGAAGGATGTTGTTGTCTTCATTATCTTTCATTGACGTATTAGCTCCTTTCTTCAAAAGTTCATCAAATGTAAGAGCATTTCCTTCGTTTGCTGCCTCCAGAAGTGGCGTCCTACCATTTTTCCCCCTCGTGTTGATGTCCACAGTGTTATGGGACAGGAGGTATTTCACTATCTGGACGTTGACGGTACAGGCCAAATGAAGGATACTGTTGCCATCATCATCCACTTGTGTCAAATCGGCACCTTTCTTCACAAGTAAGTCAAACACATCTCTATATCCACACAATGCAGCAAGCATTACTGGCGTGATTCCGTTTCCATTTGTGACGTTGATGCTGACAAAGTCCTGAGTAAGGATATATCTTGCAGTCTCTCCTTGCTTAAATATAAGCGCAAAATGTAGAATGTTGTATCCAGTAGAGTTATGTGTTGTGGACATATTGGCTCCGTTAATACTCAGCAGATGTAACACCTCTTTGTGTCCACATTTAACAGCCTCCATCACAGCTGTTGTCCCATCATTTGACCGACTGTTGATGTCCACAATGTCCTCTGTGAGGACATACTTAATGAGTTCTATATTACCCCCTTCACAGGCCTTGTGGAGAATATTGCTGCCATGTTTGTCCACCACTGACAGATCAGCTCCTTGCTCAATCAGAAGGTCGAAAACATCTTTGTGTCCCCGACTAGCGGCTACCATTGCTGGAGTCACTCCATATACTCCCTCACTGTTGATATTCACAATTTTCTTTTCAAGAACACATTTCACTATTTTCATATTCCCTCCAGTACAGGCAGCATGTAGGATGTTTTCAATGCTCTCACACTTTACGAGAAGACTGGCTTCTTTCAAAACAAGCAAATCAAACACTTCCCAATGCCCGTGATTTGCTGCTTTTAGCACTGGTGTGAACCATTCGGGGCCACATGTGTGAATAGATGAAACGTTTTGCCCAAGCATATACTTAACTATTTCAATATCACCTCCTTCACAGGCCGTGTACAGAATAGTGCCATCGTCGCCCTTTAGGGTCAGATCGGCTCCTTTTCTTACCAGTAGGTCAAAGACGTCTTTATGTCCCTTTCTGGCTGCAATCATCACTGGCGTGTCGTCATTGTCGTCTCTGATGTTTATGTCCACAGGCTTACCACTAAGGACATAATCAACAATCTCAATACTTCCTCCCATACAGGCCTTATGTAAAATCGTCTTTTCCTCTTCATCCACTAAGGACAGATCTGCGCCTTTCCCCACAAGTAAGTGGAATATATCTTTATACGCTTTCATCGCTGCACACATCACTGGTGTGTTCCTGTGTTGATCTCTCGTGTTGATCTCTGCCAAGCCCCCAGATAAGAGTAGTTCAACTCCGAACCGATGTCCATCCATACAAGCTCTAAGTAGGATGGTGTTATGCTGGGACATTAATTGTTGCCTATTTTCCTTTTCTGTAAAAGCACGAGAAGTATATGTCAGTGCTTACATTTAATTCATCTTTGGCCTATTCAGCTGTTCGCTCAATGGTGGTTTGAGCTGGTTTAGGGAATAGTACACTCTTCAAAAAAAGAAACACAAAATATAATTTGAAAATAATGATCGCAAGTTTGTACGTATATGTCAAATTGAGCATGCTTTCAGTGTTGAATATTGTTGTTGGTAAGGTTTAGAAGAACATGCGTGAGCGAATGCAAACATAAACGATTGTGAATGGTTTTAACGACCATGATTGTCATGATGAGCTTGACTTTTATGGAACACAACCAAGAACCGCACTTTTTGCATTGCTATTAACGTGCAAAACACGAGTACAACACATGACTATTAAAGACCCAAATGCATCACGCAGATTTATGCAATTCCCTTGCAAATACTGGATGAGGAAATGGGGACCGACCGTAGATTACATTGGACGATCACAAGCTATCGAATCAAAGAGTGTCGTGGCGAGGACCTCCTGCGTTCATCCCAGCACAATAACAACTTTGTGGGATCGTTTTGTGCATTCCAATTCGACAAATGACCACCCAAGACCAGGGAGATCGCGTGTCACCACACCAGCCCAAGATCGCTACATCCGGGTAACCCACCTACGTCACTGACATCGTTCCGTCCCGGGCACAGCACAAGAATGTTTTGGAGCCCGGAGAATGTCCGACCAGACAATCAGAAACCGTCTCCGAGAGGCAGGTATGCGTGCTAGACGTCTAACAGTTCCCCCCTCTGTGACACGAGTACATCAACGCCCGCGAAGCAGGTGGTGTAAACACGGTGCAGCCATGGAACCTTGGAAACTGGAGGCACATATGGTTTAGTGATGAATCGCGGTATCTCCTCAAACAACGTGACGGAAGACACCGTGTCTACTGACCATGCAATGGACGTTTTGCAAACAACTACATCAGCCATGTGGACAGATTTGGTGGAGATGGTGCCATGGTGTAGGGAGCCATATCATACACCTGCAAATCGGAATTGGTACTCGTCCAAGGCAATCTAGCGGCCGCTCGATATATCGACCAGATTCTCTGTCCTCACCTGCATCGCCAGAGGGGAATGTACCAACAGGACAACGCCAAACCTCACACAGCACGTGCTACAGTGGACTCCCTGTACCAATGTATTGTTCTACATGATTTCAATGCTATGATTACACAATGCCATTTAGAAAGTGGTCAAATGTAACGTGTGTTATATTTGGCATTACACTTTCTTAGTAAAGTACAAATTCTAGTACTTTTTGAGTTGAGCCCCATCCGGGATTCGAACTCACACCCTCAGAGTCAGGCAGCCAATCGCCAGCACACAAAGTCAGCCACCTAACCCACTCAGCTACCGCGACTGTGGAACACGCGTTAGATTTCAATGCTGTACCGTATATTGTTGTTGATTTACATATAATTGAATAAGACCAAATGTTTCAATGATATTTTGCTTTTGCGTTTCATATTTTGAAGAGCGTAAATTACCCTGTATACAACTCACTTAACGTTACTAGGACTGATGTAGGGTTGACCAGTGCATAAAAGTATATTTGCTTGCCTTTGAGTACATTTAGGTGTCTTGGTGTGTATCATTAAACTAACTATTGGTATACCTGTGAAGTTCCGTTCTATATCATTCATGAACTTGTTAATAAAGAATGGGTAATACTGTCAACACGGGCGGACTGAGGCGAATAAACATGTGAATTCCTTCTTCAATAAATTGTAGTGTAACTAATTATTTTGGTCACTGATCAAAATAATCAATTTAAGGGATTTAGTACAATATTCATTTGCAATAACGTTATGACATCTTACGCCTGGAAATAAAGACCGCTTTGAATGTTGGAGTCAGCATTGTCGCCAGCGTATATCCAGGCTATTTACTGCCGGCCTAAATAGACATTTATATTTATTGATATAAAACACATAAGCGTCTCTGTAGTGACACCCGGGAAAGCGGAAATAATATATATTGAATAATAGATGTATCCCCATATCCCCAGACTGTTTATTGCATGCCATTAAAGTCATGAGAACTGCTAAAGACATTTCATTTTGTTCAGTGAGTGAGTAAGTGAGTGAATTTAGTTTTACACCGCAGTCAACAATATTCCAGCTATAAGGCGGCGGTCTGTAAATATTCGAGTCTGGACCAGACAATCCAGTGATCAACAGCATGTGCTTCCATCGACGCACTTGGGATACGAATCAAGTGTCAATCAAGTCAACGTGTCCGACCCCCCGATCCCATTAGTATCTTCTTATGACAAGCATGGGTTGTTAATGGGTGGTTCAGATTGGGAATGACCAGTCTTACAGAATTGCATCATCGTCTAGATCTGTTCATTGGTGCAACATTTCCCAAGGTCGAGTACCTTGAGATACTGATGTTTCTATACTTTGTACATAGAGCCACGTGTGTAGGGTTAAAATGTACACGTTGCTGTTGGCGTGAATGCACATTCAGTGCTTGGATCTCATATTAACGTGTCATTAAAGCCCAGAGCTGACAGCATCTCCACTCTTCCTTTGTCTTCAGTAAAACATCAGTGTGCGGTGGACGTGCCCTGCACAATAGTGTCACGATACATACTAATTGAACATTACATAGTACGGAATTTACCTTCCACACAGACAACTTTTCTGGAGTAGGTCTCGAGACATCTGCCATCTTGGCAGGTCTTTAGCGAGCAGGATACAGCTTGAACCTGAAACAGAAGTGTTTGATGGGAATTCTAAAATACTACAATCGTGTACGAAGTGCCTTTGAACGCTGATAAAGAACTGTGAATGCATGACATAAAAACTTTGAAATAAACAACTTTTTTGTGACTTTCCCAACATTAAACCATAAAAAATACATTAAAATACACACATTATTTCTGGTTTCTAAATTTCACCATATATACACATATATATATGTATATATATATGTGTGTGTGTGTGTGTGTGTGTGTGTGTGTGTGTGCGCGTGTGTGTGCGTGTGTGTGTGTAAATATTAAAAAACTGTCAACGAAGGACAGTAAAAAATAACTAGAATATCCTAGATATGAATATACGACTATTATCTAAATCTAAAACAGCTTAACTATAGAAGACGATAAAAATATATACACACTGTGGATCGCCAACAACTAAAGGTAGATCACCATACTAGGGACCAAAATGGTCACCAAACAACAACCTCCCAAACTCGATTTCAGTGCGTCCGACATGGGCATGCTTGTTCTAGATTTGGGACTGGCAATGGATATGCTCACCAAGCAAGGGATCATCACGGAAAACATATTAAAGTAATGTTATATACTAGTACTTAGATAAAATTGCCTTGATGGTCAGATGGGGCTATAGTAAACGCCCTCGCCCTTTTGGGTAGCAATTATTTTTTCTACATTAAGTTCATCTATATCACGCATCGCTTTTGATCAAAATAAAATAACAAGGAATGATTTAGCTATTGAGAAATAGCAGGCTGCCCAGGTCGAATACGAGAAAAAACAATGCAAAGAATTGATTTTATCAACGAACAACTCAAACGAGAAGGTAACGCCGTGTTCAAGTACGTGGACGTTGCCATGCATGATGATTATCTCGTCACCGGAAAACAATTGGAACCCCTCGGGGGTATGCCAACACTCCCGTCGTACTACACACGTTCACGGGGTCAGAAAGACCGCGATATGACCTCGTGGTGTTAGGCCTAGCCAATCCATATGCATAGCCGCACTACATGCAAATCAATTAGACTAATATTCAAACATGTGTATAGTCGCACTACATGCAAATAAATTAGACTAATATTTATCCATGTGCATAGCCGCACTACATGCAAATCAATTACACTATTATTCATCCATGTGCATAGCCGCACTACATGCAAATAAATTAGACTAATATTCATCCATGTGCATAGTCGCACTACATGCAAATAAATTAGACTAATATTCATCCTTGTGCATAGTCGCACTACATGCAAATCAATAAGACTAAAATTCATCCATGTGCATAGCCGCACTACATGCAAATCAATTAGACTAATATTCATCTATGTGCATAGCCGCAATACATGCAAATCAATTAGACTATTATTCATCCATGTGCATAGTCGCACTACATGCAAATCAATTAGACTAATATTCATCCATGCATGTGCATAGCCGCACTACATGCAAATCAATTAGACTAATATTCATCCATGTGCATAGTCGCATACAGCAAATCAATTAGACAATATTTATACATGCAAATCAATTAGACTAATATTCATCCATGTGCATAGTCGCACTACATGCAAATCAATTAGACTAATATTCATCCATGTGCATAGTCGCACTACATGCAAATCAATTAGACTAATATTCATCCATGTGCATAGCCGCACTACATGCAAATCAATTAGACTAATATTCATCCTGTGTGCATATGCACTACATGCAAATCAATAGTCATCCGTATTGCATAGTCGCACTACACTACATGCAAATCAATTAGACTAATATTCATCCATGTGCATAGTCGCACTACATGCAAATCAATTAGACTAATATTCATACATGTGCATAGTCGCACTACATGCAAATCAATTAGACTAATATTCATCCATGTGCATAGTCGCACTACATGCAAATCAATTAGACTAATATTCATCCATGTGCATAGTCGCACTACATGCAAATCAATTAGACTAATATTCATACATGTGTATAGCCGCACTACATGCAAATCAATTAGACTAATATTCATCCATGTGCATAGTCGCACTACATGCAAATCAATTAGACTATTATTCATCCATGTGCATAG